CTTACGAAAGCACACATCAGGCCCAACGCTTTCCAAAAACTGAGTGGGAAACTTGCTGTCCAGGCAAGTCTGCTCTAGCATGTGTCATTAATTATTAGCATGTATCAAAAAGTGCTGTTCCTTCATGAAAATACAGCACTCTGTCATATAACTTCTCTAAAATCTTTCAGCTTTTCAGCGAAAGCACCGCTTCAGCAATGGACTTCTATCGCAGCAGAGAAGATTGTGTGAAACTTCGTGGCTCCAAAGCAACCTCGGATTTTGTGAGACGAACGAATATTCTATTCGACTGCTTAAATTCCAAGAGTCCACAAGATGTGCATTATATGAAGCAGAACACATTGCTGTAAGCCCTAATATTTCAAAGCTATGGTCGCTTCCTTTGAAGTTCCAATTAAATCAGATTGTTTTTCAGACACTGAAGGAGAACATCGAGTGGCTTGACAGGGGGCACACTTACAACCAGAGTTTACCAAAGCAAAAGCAACTCTTCTTTCTGAGCAAGCTAACATGCAATGCTCTGAGAATGACTTTGCACAGCACAGTGACGCTTGTCGAAAAGCTGCTCAAATGTGGCTTTCGCTATGTTTTAGTTGGAAACTTTGGACAAGACCACGTCGAGGTAAATTTAAACGTTTTCGCTAGTTGAAGACATTGTCTTTGCGCTTTTCTCTCTTTAGGAGATTTTTAGGCATAGCAAGACATGTTGCTGGAGCAGTGGGACAGCCAACGGTTCAGCAATTTTTGTTCATTTACCGGTTGCTCTCGGTGAACAACTTGATCCGTCCGCCACAGCGAGCCTCAGTTGAAGGGGATGGTCCACGTCTCCTTTTAAAAATGCAGGATCTCTTTCAACATAAAGAACCTACTGATAATCAGGTAAACATTTTAATAGCACACCAACGCTGCTCGTAGGGTGTCTCTATATCGTATGGAAATGTGCTGAATGTTGTCTAGCCCTTTGATGCTAATGACATGCACGTCTGGTCATATGATATACAACGAGCTTCTATTCTGCTTTTTCACTTTCCAAATTTCTCTCTTGCCATTGTGGTATAAAAAAATATTTACGTTTCAGATTGATACCTTGGCGGTTCTTTTTGATGATATACTGCTGGAGCCTGCTGAATGCATGCAAGATATGATTCATTCGGAGTCAACGAGGGACTGCATTTCGGATTACCTTGGCGGCTATGTTGCAAAGAAGTTTGCTAAAGTAAGCGTCAAGGACCACCTCCAAACACTTAGAAGCAACTCCCGAGAGCCAACTGCATTGACTGCAATTAGGACGAGAGGATTTTTGCAAGTGCCATCGGAGCAACTATTGCGCCTCTTGCAAATTGTGAAGGAACATGTTAAAATGCGTACCATAGACAATATAGCCTGTGCCAATGTCTACATGAACATTGTTGAAAACATCTTGCTGGACAACCGCACTTCCTCGGCCAGTGTTGGCTGTGGAACACATTTTGTGAGCACCACGGCAGAAGTTGTGCACTTTGTTACGCGCGAACAAAACAAACTGTTTTGTGCTGGTGGTCGCTCATCCTGTCCGGCCACAGGAGGGAGAAAACCAGGGGCATAAGTTTTTTTTCAGTTATTTTTTTTGTGTCATTCACTCTATCTCCCCACTTTTCATCCACAGTTTCATCCACGCAGATTTAAATAAACTATGTACCTGTGCTCATGGCAGTTTGGAATTCTTTACAATTGCCAGTAATTGCAGCGAAAAAATCTGCCGATAATTTCGCCCACATTTCCTTGCAAGGCGCATCGTTGTTGCGAAGTTCAAAATGCTACCCACTGCTAGGTAAGTGGCACACAAATTTATCTCCGTTAGGCAGAAATATTTCGCATATAAAAAGCTGAAAAAAATTGAAAGAGATATCTAAGTGGACAAAGAAAAAAAACTGCTCGGTTTAAGTCCGAAAGCGACTATACAGAAATCGAGAAATGTAAAAAATGTAACGAACACATCCGTCACTTGACAGATACTCTCAGTCAAAACATTGCCAGCAATCAATAACTTGGGCAATTTGACAACGCGCATCATGTACAATATTGACAATACTAATCACTGCTATGATTTCTTAGCGAAAACACGGAGAAGGAAAATATCTGAAGAGGTGTATTTGACGGCAAACGCTTCTGCGAACGCGCACCTGCCCTACCAAGCGCGGCAGATCAATGCCCTCCTGTATACGGTGGCGCCTCTGGTGGCCACTTTTTTCCCTATATAAAACTTTCGCGGGAGTTTCATCACCAGTAAAAAGTATTGAGGGGCCATGGTCCATCCATGCATCTGTCTGTGTGTCCGTTCGTCTATCTATTCAACACTCCAAGTACCACCATCTCGCATGTTTTAATCATATAGCCTCCATATAGAAATACCGCCATCCAGCGGACATTCCAAGGACTAAACGAGAGGTGACACATGCACACTTTCTTACGGCTTGCGCTTCGGGTCTACTTCCCACCTTTAGCTCCCACGAGTTCATGGTGTATACTAGTTGACTGTATTCTTGGCACTGCGGCCCAACGCTCGCTAAACCTTTCTAAAACCAAGGAAATTACGCCCATCGAGTATAACGTAGCAACCTTTTCCTGTCAGATAGTGCTCAATGGACATTCCAATGGCTGCTAATGGGAAATGAGAGACAGGAGAATTCGGCTTTTACTTTCTTACGGCTTGCGCTTCGTATCTACTTCCCACCTTTAACCACCTCGAATTCATTCATAGTATATACTAGTTCATGTATTCATGGCACTGCGGCTCAACGCTCGCTAAACCTTTCCGAAACTAAGGAGGTTACACCCAGCGAGTATATTGTAGCAACCCTTTCTTGTCAGATAGTGCTCAATTTACATGTCAATGGCTGCTAATGGGGATCGTAGCGCGCGCATTAACTTAAAGCCGAACGCTCCTGTCTCATTCCCCATTAGCAGCCATTGGCATGTACATTTAACACTATTTTTATTGTTCAACAACGCACAGAAGAAATCTCTCACCGGCACCACCTTGGAGGTAAAAATGTTATACCTGTTACATACTACAACGGCTACGAGGGACGAACAGGTGTTGCTATAAGAAGCTTTGCCCCTAAAAAGCGAAACTTATTCTCTGGTACAACCTAAAGCTGCCTCAAGTGCATAAAGTACAAATTCAAGTCAAACGTGTTTGTTTTTAAGCAAAATAAGCCTACCTGCGAGGGTTTCGTGTCCTACCAATAGATTGTCTAGATTGACAACATTCGCTGTTGCTTGACGCCAGTGGTAATTTTTTATCGACTTTCACCATGAAGTTAAGATTATAATTCCCTTTTTCTGGCCCGAAAGCGTGCTCGTTGCTGCCGATGTGATGAAATATCATTTCATCTGCGCCACAATCAGAAAAATTCTTTTTCTAGTGGTAGTCAGCCTCTACAATTCTACTTGAATGAATTGTTTTTTAGGTCGTTGCTAAGTTCCACCCATACTTGTTCGCCGCTGTCGGCGAGCGTCTCGACTAGCATTTGCAGTCTTCTGCTGCGCCTCACCACAAAAACGATACGTTTTCCTACATATGTTTTCTGGCATGATGGTACCTTATAACCACAAAGTACGGGATCACACTGTCCTAAACTTCATTAGGATTTCTTCATTAGCATTTACGCCAGTTTATTTTGTCGCAGTTCCATGATGCATCAAGTGCCGGTCGTTTGGGCGTCAACGGAACCTATGTGTTGACTGAAGTTTTTCTGTTCTGCTCTTGGAGCTCTGTTGAGTACTACCTCGCTTCCTACAAGCTGAGCCAACGCCGCGAGAAGCTTTCCCTGTTCCACACTGGGCACCTTCAGGCACCGTTTCTTCGCATTTGCATTGAGCTGATTCGGCCTGTCCCGACGTCGTCCATGGTAACAAGTGGGTTCCCATTGCTATGTAATATGTCATACTTTGCCATCAGGCAAGCCATCCCTCCTAGCTGTGCAACCGATGATGCAGACTTTCGTTCTCGCGGTGGTGCTCATCTAGGTTCTCGAGTCATTTCCGGATTTGTTGACATTGCTGACTCTTGCGCAATGTCCCAGAGTTTACCACGACTTACCATCCTTAAACAAATACGTACTGAACACTGTAATTATTCACACACGGATGTGGTATGCGTGTATCTCTCTAATGATCAGTAGGATTAGGGTAGCAACTTCGAGCAGGGTCCGAAAAGTGAGCGCCAGTTTTTGGTTGCGGAGCTTCCTAAGACTTGGCTAATTGGTGTGAATTTTCGTTTTTATTTTCGGTCACAAATTTTCGCAAATAAAAAGACTTAACTGAACAGCAAAGAGCTCTTGTTTATTCGCTCTTTTTATTTCGTATTTTGTGAATTTTAAATCATCCGAAGAGCGGGAACTGGTTGACTTTTGTTCGTACCATTTGCATCCGCTCAACCTTGCCACTCGCTTTGCGATTACGCAAGCTGGATTGCGCGCATGTATCTCGTTTTGTTGACGTGCTAAGAATGAATGCGGAAAAGACATTTGATTGACGTGCAGTGAATGGAAGCCACAGTGGACCAGGTCCACCAGGTCAAATGGGAATTGGACAATGATGGCTAAATGAAGGCGTGACATGTTTTGCGTGGCAATGTGGTGCATGGGGAGCGATAGCAGTTGCCAATTTAAATTCACGATCTTACGGCTGCATGTTAGTGCAACCTTAGTTCAGCTTTCGAAAAGCCGGAAAGACTGTTTTTCCTCTGGCAGAACTAAGAGATTCGAGAGCGATTCAGCTCACCTTTAAGCTCGCTAATCAAGCGTTTCAGCTTTTTTTTACTGATTCAGCATGTTTCCAGGCAAAGTACGAAAGGGGCTACCTATCGCGCGCCCAGAAAAGGGAACGTACCAATCGGGGTAACATCATTATGACATCAAGTGTTTATGTGTTTATTTTGGCATGTTTGCAATAAACGCGTCTTCTGACTTATTAAATTTCTGGTAGTCTGTATGTGAACTACAAGTAATACTTACGACACGTCCTGACGGTTTCGTGAGAACTCAGAATGAGGCAGCCTAAATATTCAGCCCTCTGTATGCACTTATCTTCCTCTGCCTCAGGACACCTTGGATGATCTGTGGAATGAAAAATTTAAGAGACTAATAAATATTTGAGGCAACTTTGCGGACTCAAGTTCAGTAAGGAATAGAGACACTGCACCGCAGAAGGTATGAGCGTTTCATATTCGCGATTTAAGGGCTGGGTATAATCAAGTTATACCTGAGGTGCATCGAACGAACGCCTGCACCAAAAGAATTGAGAGTACCTGTAGTATAAGTCCTGGGTAAAGCCAGGATTGTCTCGTTTGCTCAATTCCTGATTCGGGCCCCAACTGAGGTACGACCCAGAAGCTAAAGGCTAGGCAATGGCTTGGGCGGAATGAACTACAGCAGTCCTGAACCAGGCCCACTTCAACCATAAAAACATTAAGGTTACGCCTCAACTCAACCCGTTAATAGCGGCCTATATATATCGTTCAGAACAGCGCGAAACTAAATATACCAACGAACTATGGCAACTCTTTTTTCTCAGAGTACAGAAGCAGACATTGCGCCATGCAATGTCTCAATCGTGCTTCGCATATAATCAATTCCCACTGTACGTGGGATCTGCCATTATTTAAGAAAAACGATATATACATGATCAAACCCTATCATCAATAGCTGGAATATGCGCACTGCAGTGCAAAAGCCTTTTTGTGCTTCTTCAATCAGCCTGCACAAACTTTCTCGGGCCTTAATACCCCATCAATCTTCTTAAAATTGTTTTAGACAAAAATCTTCAGCTGTTTTTTATTGTTAACCTTTTGCGGCATGTGAAATATTAGGCCATAAAGAGCCTAGAAATTACGCTGGTCAGTATGAGTATGGCGTGAAATGTTCACTAAAATATTTCCCATAAAGAACCTAGAAATTACGCTGGTCAGTATGAGTATGGCGTGAAATGTTCACTAAAATATTTCTAAAAGCTTTTCTCTGTTCCTATTCTACTCTGTTGTTGTGGCATGGTGCAATCTTGTCGTGTGCTCGTGCAATCTACCGACTCGTATTCATGTCCATACTGTTCTCTGGCTGTGTTGGGCATGCACAAAAAACCAATTTGTATGCTTTGGTACTAGTTGTCATCGCGACAAGTCACGGTAGAGCGTGTGTCGTCACCAAAATTGACACCGTTTCCTGACGACATGCTAGTGGAAAGCTAGCTGTAGTACAGCCAGCGTGCGCGGTTCACACAGTTCAGCGTTCGCTGTACCTTTACAGATGGTGGTTATATCAATGTGTCATGTATTGCCTTAAAGGACGCTGGTGAAGTAAGGACGACGAAGGCATGGAGCGAACGCAACGCTGACAACGGAAATGAAAGAAAAAAAGACAGTCTCATTCTTCAATAAACCCCGTTGTTTCTGCGCGCTTGTTTGTCTTCTTTTTTCGTCTCTCGCCCCACCGCACAGACGAGAGTCATTTCGCGATTTGTATGCACTGGCAAAAAAAAATTGGCCTCGTATCTGCATGTTACACCGCAAATATTGTCGAAAAACGATAGTCTTGCGTCTGGAGAGAGTGAACAAAACGTTTATTTGATGTTCCTCGCAAGAAAATTGGTGAATGGTATTCTGGAGGCGCTGCGTTAGAGTGCCTCGAGCGTGCAGCGGAGGCGAACGAGTACATCAAGTCACGTCTCACGTGAGCAATGAGCGCTATCTGGCAGTTATCCTAGAAAACAGGGCGTGCACCATGCGCGCCCGTCTTTGAGGCGATATGGTGTAGAACGCGAGGCGACGGGTAGGTCCCACCACCATGTCGTCTTAGCAAAGCGTTAGAAACACTTGCCGATTCGTGCAAGTGTTGCATGGCCAGCACAGCTTTATAAAGGCTACTATCCTTAAAGTTACTTAGGTATGCCTTTTCTCAAAAAAATACACATACATAATATTGAAGTGTTGTTATGGTGCCCCAGATATGCGCAATAATTGTTTTTAATTGACAATCGAAAAAGTATGAATGCTGAACCTTGAGAAATATTGATGGGTGCTGCGGATGGGGTCGGCCGTTCGGAGCATCGTTTGGTAACTTTGGCGCCGTTTAGGGTACCGTTAAGGAAGGACAAACAGACCAAAATTATTGCGTCGAAGGTCTCCAAGAAAGGCTATTGTTGTTGTTGTTGTTGTTATCCTATTGTTAATGTCTTTAAAAGACGAGAGGCACGAGGAACCCTCGTGGCGCGAGAATTTTGAAGATAAAAAGAGAGGGAGAGAAGCAAGAGGAAAAGCGGGGGAGCAGCGCGTGGAGGAGAATCAGAGGTCAGCGGAAGAAGCAGCCATGCAGAGCAGAAACCCTGACTCCTGCCGATGCCTGGTGCCACTGAGCCTGTGGCTCTGAAGGGTTGGCGGAAGTTCTCGGGCAGTGTACCTTGACATCGCTCGTATTACGGCACGCCAACGACAACCGTCCACGACACACCACCTGGCTACCAGACTACCAGAGGAACATCAAGCCCCTACTCCGAAGCGTCGCGTCTGTGAGGAGGAGCAGAAAAAAACCTTTATTGATGCTGGCTGTGCCAGATAGCCCTTATCCCCACCGGGCTGGTTGACATCCCTAGTCCGGGACGTCATTAGTTGAGGCCGCCACCCGAGCCCGCTGGACTAGAGTTCGCTGTTCCTCTAGTGTGGAGCTATTGAGTAGGGTCGTCTCCCAGTCCTCTTTGGGGGGGGGGGGGGGTCGGGATAGGGGGTTAAGTTTGGGTTCATTTGGCAGGCCCAGATTATATGGTAAGTGTTGGCCACTTCCCCACAGTACTGGCCCTGCCCACTTATTTTGGGGTCGTAATATTTGAGTATGGCTGGACAGAGCAGCGTGTTTGTCTGTAGGCGCCGCAGGACGCGCTCCTCCGTTTTCGAAAGTCCCTTCCCTGGTGCGGGATACAAGCGGCGTTGCTCAATGTAGTATTCTTTGATTTCTCAAAACCGTGTTAAAGGTGCGGGACGTTCAGGTCTATCAGGGGAACGGGTAGTTTCCCGGGAAGTAAGCACGCGGGCCGCTGCATGTGCAGCCTCGTTACCCTGTAGACACTGATGTCCCGGAGTCCATATAAGACGTTTTGGGGTAGTATCGCGGTTCCTGGTGCTGAATTTTAAAAGTCTATTAGCCAATGGAGAGATTTCTCCTACAAGATAGCTCTCGCAGGCCCTTTGAGAGTCTGTAACTACTTATTTTGAGTTAGGATAGGATACTGCCAGAGCAATGGCCACCTCTTCCGCCTTACTTGAGCTTGTGGCTTTGAAAGTGAGGCCGTCCACCTGCGTTCCTTGATGTATTACCGCCACGGTGTAGTATCCCCTAGGTGACAGCCCGGCCACATCGACGTAATAAATCCCATTACGGGAGCCAAGCCATTGTTCAAGTGCCTCAGCACGCGCTTGCCTTCTACCCTGGTGCGCCTCCCTGGTCATATTGCGGCGAAGCGGGGACACCCAGAGTTTTGTTCTCTAAAGTTCAGTAATACGCTCCGCGTTTTCGATTTCGCATTCGTGCCGGATCAAGAGGCGGTCCAGTAGGCACCGCCCGGGGGGCGTCTGCGTAAGACCCGTATATTGATTTGTGAGGTGGGCTCCTTGGAGCTCTTGTATAGAGTTAAAGACTCCCAATGCAGAGAGTTTCTGATTTGAAGTGCTGATGGGTAAATCAAGTGCGCGCCTAATTACTTTCCTAAGAATAGCATCGACTCTGTTCTCTTCGTGTTTAGTCATTCGTAAGTACGGTATTGAATATAGAATCCTGCTAGCTACAAAAGCATTGGCGAGCCGAATCACGTCCCTTCCTCGTAGCCCCCCGCGCTTGTTTGACACTCGGCGGATCATGTGCCCTACCTGTTCTCTTATTTTCCATAGCTTGTCTAGTGTGGTGCTGTTTTTTGTTCTGTTGTGAATCACGCGTCTGTGACGCTCTTGGTTTCTCCAGCCAATCTCCACGGTAAATACTGGTCCTTGACTATGTCGCTTCTTTTCATGTGAACCGTGTATTGCTTTTTAACTAGTGACACTTATCTTTATTGCATAGAACGCGAATGACTTGTCTAGTTGTTGTTTTGTTTTTCATGAATTAAATGTTTTAGTGTGCGCGCGCGCGTATGCGCGCGCGCGTGTGCGTGTATGTGCGCGCGCGCGCACGTGTGTGTGTGTGCGCGCGTGTGTGTGTGCGCGCGCGTGTGTGTGCGCGCGTGTGTGCGCGCATGTGTGCGCGCGTGTGTGTGCGCGTGTGTGCGTGCTACCGAGAACGCCCTTTTCATACTTATTTCTTGAACCTGATACGTTGAATTCACTACACAGTGGCACATTAAAAATTCATCGCAGTCTGTTTCCGCAGAGTTGCTGCAGACGCTATCTACAACTCTCGATGTCTCTATTTATTGGACCTGTTCATTTCAGCGGAGCACATTTAATTACTCGACAGAGTGGTCAGCCTTGAAGATGTCCCACTCCTGATCATTTCGACGTACCAAACCTGCTCAGTAAACTCGTAGCATAAAAAAATAAAGTAGATGAAATGTACTGCGACACAATACTTGACTCTTTCGTTCCACTGCGAGAATGTTTTTTTATATATATCTTAGGAAGAGGCTTTTTGCCAGTTTGAAACGTACTCCAGCCAGCATTACAGCATACCAAATTTTACACTATCCAATGTTTTTTTTTCTGAACAATATATGCTGTATAGAAACAAAAATATTTGAGAATGAATAAAAATGTAGCAAGCGTACCATTTTGTTGTCAGCTGGTAAATAATGCAATAAAAAACACTATATATGCAAAAATATTCAATACAAGCAAAATTCTGAATATACATTTTGAAGATTAGTGGCACAGGAACTATAGAAAAGTGTTAAATGTTGTAAAAATGTAATTACTCACATAAGTGAAGAAAATTGCAACCAAAGGCCTGCTTTATTGCTTGTGCCGCACGGTGAAGCATTGCTTAGTTTTTCGTGAGACCCGAGTGAACTCGTCCACTTTACT